TACAATCCACCCCGCCCTCTTCGGTCCTCTGGGAAGAATCTATTACAGGTAGAAAAATCTAATCGACTACTTCCCAAAGGACCTTCTCAATGACTGCTCCCAGACTATGGAACGGCCTGCTGGACGAGGTCCATCATTTGTCAACTTTAGACAGCTTTAAAAGAGATGTCAAGACGGATCTCTTCTGGCAGGCCTTTCCCGACTAGTCTTCCCACTCATGGAATTGGTTTTTATGTTTCTTTTCCCCATTCTCACCTGCCATATTAGCTGCCGATGTAATTACTGTAATTATTGTAATTATAATTGTAATTTTTAATTTCTAAAATTTGGGCATTTGCCTTATTTTAAAATTGTTTAATTTGATGTTGTTTAATAATTTTTAAAAGGTGGGAGGGTTAGGGTTGGGTTTGATCTTATTGTATTGTATTTTTATGTTGGAAGCCGCCCTGATTGCTATGCAGAGGGGCAGGATATAAATACATTTATTATTATTATTATTAATGCTGGTGCAGCTTATTTCCACATAGGGATATTTACGCTATGCTAAGGGGATGTTGGATTGAATCCAGTGTGTGTTTGGAGATTTGGGATTACCCTGCCTCTCTTGACACTTCTTGGTTAGTACCAAAGGTCACGCAGTGAGCATGAACCCAATGTTTAGAGTCTATAATGTTGTGGTATGCAGACTAGACTTCGATACAAGCTTCTAGACTTAGATGCTTCTAGACTTAGGGAGGATGCAGACGGGTGGCCCTGGGTCGCCCTGGGAAGCAGAGGATCGGGGCCGAGACTGCCGGACACCTCAGCCCCGATCCTTCCTTTTGCTGGCCTGGAAAAGAACAAAATGCTGCTCCTTTCAGCGCTGGCAAAGGGCGCCCTAAGAACCGGTGCATGGCTCTTTGGCACCTCTTCTGGCGCAGCGCATCAAACTGCTGCAGCGGAAGGACATCCTGGCGCCGTGTGTAACGGCGTGCGGCATCAGGATGCTGCTGGCATGGGGTTGGGGCATTCAGCATGCATCTGCCCCTCCCTATCCCTGCCTCCAGACTGGCCCTTTGGGCCGGTCTGTAGAGGCCCATAGATACAAGCATTGAACACAATGTAACAGCCATTAGGAACTGGTAAGTGCCTTCACATATACAATTGGCCCTCCGTTTTCATGGGGGATCCATTCCGGACCACCCTCTGACGAAAATGGAGACTCACCAATGTTCAAGCCCCACAGACTTGAATGGGGTGCATGCCCGCTGGCGTGCACAAGGCACACACCATGGGTACGTGCCCCATTGAAGTTAAAGGAGGTCGGCCCTTCATAAATATTTAAGTCTGCGGATCTCAAGTCTGTGAGAACAGAGGGGTGACTGTACAGATTAAGCATTTGCGCAGGATAAGTAGATCTAAAATATTTAAATGTGTTTTAAATTTTATATTGTTGGATTTATTGTTTTAATCTTTTTTTGATTTAATGCTGTTTTAAGGGGGGAGGGATTGTTTTGGATATTATGTATTTTTAATTGTTGTAAGCTGCCCTGACTGGGTTCCCAAAGGGCGGGATAAAAATAAATATTATTATTATTATTATTATTATTATTATTATTATTATTATAAAATATATCTCTATCTGTTTTTCTAGGTTCTAATAGAAGATTGTATTCCAGTACTGAAGAGGTATGCCAAAGAAGAAAGGATGTTTGATTATGTAATTAATGACTTGACAGCTGTTCCAATCTCCACATCTCCAGAAGAAGGTTAATATTTTTCACCTCTATGAACTGTGTTGATGCAAATGTGGTTTTAATCAAAACTTATTCAAGTGTAAGCACAGTTTTAATGAGGTACTTATATCTAGAGGAAATAAAGAGAATAAGGAGGTATGTATGAATTTAGTATTTGGGTGGTACATATGTAGTAGGCATAGGGAGGTGACGCATGGCAACATCAAACTTGATGTGGTTCATATGCATACAGGAATGGATTGTGCAGTCACCCCTCCACATTTGCAGGGGTTAGGGCACAGCCATCACTCCATTTCCCACCTGGCCACCAGCATGCTTGAACCAGATTTTAAATCCCTTTTCAAATCTCCTCATCCCACTATTGTCTCAGTCCACCTACTCTCAATCTTATCTCCTTCCAAAAGAGCCAGCTAGATTTTAAATCGCTTTCCAATCCATAAATTTTCTCACCCCACTCCACCTACTTACTCTCAACCTCTCATCCTTCCGAAAGAGCACTCAGGTTTTAAACCCCTTCCAGCCCTTTAGTCTCCTCACCCCACTCCCTTCTGTTTTTTCCCCATCATTCCAAAAGAGCCCCTTTCTAGCACATTAGACTCCTGACTGGCTATTTTGGAAGGAGAGGAGATTGAGAGGAGGTAGGGTGGTGTAGTGGTTTGAGTGTTGGACTTCAACTCTGGAGACCAGGGTTCAATTCCCAGCTTGGTCATGAAACCCACTGGGGGACCTTGGGCAAATCACATGCTCTCGGCCTCAGGGGAAGGCAGTGGCAAACCTCTTTTGAACAAATTTTGCCAAGAAAACCTCATGATAGGGTCCCCATAAGTTGGAAATGACTTGAAAGCACACAACAACAAGACTGGGATGAACAGGAGTGGGATGAGGAGACTGATGGGCTGAAAAATGATTTAAACTCTGGCTGAGAATCTTTTGGAAGAGGAGGAGCAGGAGGAGAGGTCAAGCTAGTTAAGCTGCATCTACAAACTTGTGAATAGTCAAAACCATGAATGAAAAACCCACAAATGTGCAGGGCCGACTGTATTTGTAAGGTTTAATTCCATTTTATTTCCCACTTATCCACACTATCTGATAAACTTGAACAAAAAGAGAGACATCAGTATTGCAAATGATGCCTGTCCCTATCACTGACAACATTTATGAATACTGTACTTAATTGTGATTTTCTAAATAAACTCTTCCTTATTACTCCAGATTCCACATGGGAGTTTCTAAGGATGATTCTGGATCTTTCCATGAAAGTCTTGAAACCTGATGGAAAATATTTCACACAGGTATGACAGGTGATTCCCCCCCCCCCCCCCCCGGTAGTAATTCTAGAAAAAGCCTATTCAAATGTTCCAGGGAAATACTGGATGTAACACTTGGGCATGTATGCCGCTTTCAACAGACAAGAGCGAACCAGATAAATTATGTACTTGTTTGAATATTGTTTGTCAGAAAGAGGGTCTCTCCTGAACCTGAAGAGGTTCAAATATTTCTTTCTCATCACTTTCTAGGTGTAGAAGTATGCAGAGTGGTCAAGCCTGTTTGCCTTGTTTATTAGGTTGGGATCATGTTTATGTAAAGCCAGCATGGAGAAGCAATACTCTGGAAAACCAGGGTTTGAATCTCTGCTGAGCTATGGAAACCCACTGGGTTACCTTGGGCACGTCACATTCTCTCAACCTAAGAAGGCAATGACAAACCTCTGAAAAATCTTGCCACGAAAACCCTGTGATAGGTTCACCTTAAGGTTCATATAAGATGGAAATTACTTCACTCCAATATATTTGACACCTGGTGTGAATCACTTTTTAATATCTTCCTCCTCTCCTCAACAGCCTTTTCCAAGTCTTTTAGAGATGCTGGCTGTGTAGGAAAGGGAGGTGACTTCCTTTCCCATCCAGCCAAGAAAGCTGCCAGACCTGGAAAGTGGCACCCTTTCCCACTAATGTGGCAGGTGACTCTCCACTCTGAGTTGTCATCTGGTGCAGTTTGCACCCCCTGCACCCCCCCCCCCCAGTGATGCCTCCAGAAGGATCACAGCAGCAACAGTTAGTTTTGTGCCTTTTTCAGGTAAGAGTTAGGTTCTGATGATATGATACAAACTATAAGGCTCTAATCCTATGTACATACAGTAAGTAAATGTCATTGAACTTCTGAATAGACAGGCATAGAATTGTACTATAAATTCCTCTTCAGAATTGCCAAGCCTTTCTAATATCAACAAGATTTTTTTATGGTTTTAGGTGACTTTTTTGTGCCTTTGAAGTTTTGGATTAGCATAGCCTTGTTTCTAATGTTCAATTCTAGTGGTTTGTTTTTTTTTATCAAGAGGTCTTTGACAGCCCATGTTAAATTAATTGAAAAGGTTCAGCATATGTAAGGGTAAAATATTGTCAGTATTCTCAGTGTTAATATGAACACTTCCCCTTTTTAAACAATGTTTGGAAACAATGATTGAAGATAAAGGATCTTGTCCTGTATTGGAACATAGCCCCTTTTTAGAACTGAAGTTGCAGGGGTTTTACCGGTTTGTATTATTTGTTTTGCTTTTAATTTGTTATGTTTAAATTGTATTTGGTTTTAATTGAAATATGATTTAATAACTTTTTAAGAGGGGGGAAATTATACTGTTTTTAGTTGTATGGTTTTTAGTGTTGTAAACTGCCCATATTGGTTCGCCACCGGGTGGTATATAATTTTTTTTTAATTATTATATATAACACATAATACTAGTGCAGTAACAGTAGGAACAGGAAAAACTGTACACTCATATTGCCAAATATTTATTGCTAGTCCTTTGTTAAAAGGAAGCCAGATAATGTATGTCTCCAGTATGGTTGTGTTTGTTTATTAAAATATTTATCTCCTGCCCTTTATCTGAAGATCTCAGAGTGGCTTACAATACAGTCCACCCGCCTCATATGTAGGCTTGCTGTACGCGAACTTGAGTTCATGTGGACAGCAAGCCTGGGGGGACAAAATGGTGCACGTGTGCACAGAACATACTGCCATTAAAATCAGTGGGACTTGAGGTCCCATGGTTTTTTCCATATGTTGGGTGGTGGTGGTGTCTGAAACAGATCCCCTGCATATACAAAGGGCCCACTATAAACTCAATTTTAAAAAATAAATAATTACAGAAGTTTAAAAAGATGAAAAATATATTAAATAGTTTCTCAGTTAGAAACAGACAATTTAAAACTGGTTAAAGCAAACTTGAATAATATAACCATAAAACATGTACAGCCTGGATAAATCAGTTTGACCCAAAGACTAATAAAAAGGTAAGTGTTAACTGCACCAAAATGATTCCAGCTTTGGCACCAATCAGGCTTAGGGTGAAGGAATTCCACAACTGAGGTCCCACTGCAGAAAAGTGGGTCTGCAGAAAAGGGTCTCGCCCATGTCCTCCCACATAGAGGATCTCTCAGTATTTCTCCTACTGATGGGACCCAGGGGCGATCCCAGGCTGTTTAGTGCTTTAAATGTTACTGCTGGGACCTTGGATCCAGAATGGAAATATATTAGCAGCAAGTCCTGTTCCTTCAGAACTGGTGTTATATGATATCTGAATGAAATTCTAGTGAGCAGTCTAGGTGCTACATTTTGCACTAGCTGCAGTTTACAAGTCATTTTCAAGGACAGCCCCATGTAGTCTAATCAGGAAGTTCCCAGTGCATGGACTACTGTAACTAAGTTATCCCTTTCCAGGAAAGGCTGTAGCTGGCAGACCAGTCAAAACTGGCCCTAAGCACTCCAATCGACCAGGTCTTATTCGGGCCTCCAGTTACAAAGATGAGTCTAGGAGTACTCCCAGACTATGCACTTACTCCTTCAACACCATCCAGAACAGGTAACCTACCCAATTCCCAGACTCGAGAACTGCCAGTCTGCAGAGACTCCATCTTACTGGCATTCAGCTTCAGTTTAATCACCCTAATCCATCCCATTACAACATCCAGGTACTGCTCCAGCACCTTCACAGCCCAGCTGATTGATGACAAGGAGAAGTAGAGCTGAGTGTGAAGAGAATACTGATGATACCCAGCCCCCAAATGTGACAAAGTTGAATCCTGAGATATCCCACAACACAGTGGCCATGGGGCTCAGTAGGAGTCCCTCATTATCACTCTCTAGAACCAACCTTGCAAATAGGAGCAGAACCATTTTAAAGCAGTGCCTCCTACTAATCTGCCAAAATCAGTTCAGTATGATATCATGGTCAATGGTATCAAAAGCCACTGAGTGATCCTAGGAAGACAAACAAGGTAGCACTTCCTATGTCTTTTCCCTGGAGTAGGTTGCCAGTTAGAGCAACCAAGACTGTAGTCGCCATATGCTGAAACAAGACTAATAGGTGAAGATAATCTGTTTCCTCCAAGAACATCTGAAGCTACCCAGCAACCATATGTTCAAGCACCTTGCCCAAACACAGTATGGGATATGATTGATAGGGTGGTAGTTCTCACCTATCTCTTGGCCCAAGGACGACCTCTTCAGGAGAGGGTGCACTATACCCTCCTTCAAGGCACCTCTCTCTGACATAGTGAGGCATTCACCACCCCTTGGGCCCACCCAAACAATCCATGTCTGCTAGGTCTTAAAAGCCAAGATGTGCAAAGGTCAAGACTACATATGGAAGGATGGACAGATTCAGATCTCTTGTCCACCTCATCAGGCTGCAACAGCTGAAACTGACCCCAAGAAAATTGATCAGATAGTGCACTGGATATGAAACTGGATTACTATTATTTCATGACTGTGGAAGGTTTTTCAGTTCCAGAATGTTATTTCACTACACCAGTGCATTCTTAACATGTAGAATAGCGTGTGAAGGCTGGTAGACTGCACTGTACTCTTAGACCACTAGATAGAGCTTGATGATTAAACATTTCAGCTCAGAGAGTAAAATCTAGAAGACTGAAAATATGTAGCTGAAATTAGTGAAACACTTATGAGATATAGGCTGCTTGATCGCATTTACAGATCTTCTTGCAGAATGAGAACTTAATAAATTTTGAATAGGATAGTCTTGAGACCTTT